TTTTCATTGCAGCTTTTTGGATACGGGTGTTTTCTGTTAGACATCACGTTCTGTTTTTGTTTTACTTAATTCCAATTTGTAAAAAGAAGAAAGAACATCATATAAATGGTTGACATGATGATGCCAGCATTTGCGTCATTTGAACCATCTCAAGACAGAAACAATGATAAATAAGAGAAACGCAGAGAGGCAGAGACTGAAACTCACACAGTCAGACTGAACCAAAGGTAATACAGGAAGTGGACCTTGCAGTTTTTCTATCTATGAAGAAACAGACTGCAGGGTTTCATCTTGTGCTTACGCTGCACTGCGGAGATCACGTCTCCTCTGCAGCAGTAGCCCACTCCGACTGTATCGCAGTCTCTGAACTCATGTTTAATCCTCTCTGAACTGCCTTGTTTGCCGGTTCGGCCGGAACAGGTTCATTGGCAGCTTTGGACAAAGATCATTTATGTTTAAAGCGTGAAGGCGATTCTCAGAGTTTTCACAAGCTTGTAAGCTCCTGACACGTCCCTCTATCTTAGTTTTTCAGTCGAGTACATCTGCTCTTCTTTTAGCCTCAGTGGAAACAAACACAACAAAACAAGTAAAATTGCACTGCACACGATTTGCTGGACTGCAGGCAGTGTTCACAAACCGCAGACAGGGGACGAGGATGGAAACTCATTAAACACGTTAGTATTGAAATATCCAAAGTATGCAGGCGCCCCATTTTGTCCAGTATCAGTAACAGCTGCTGGCACTAAGAAATATGCTTTCATCCATAATATGTAAATAATGAAAAAAATTAAACTTTCTTTTTTCAGATTTATGGCATTTTAACTCTGTTACGCTGCAGAAAAACATTCTAGTCATGGTTGTGCTGTTTCCACACAGGTGCATGACTTCATATTGTAGTAAAAAAAATCTTTTTTAATTTAAAAAAAGACCAGAAACTGCTTAGAATTCAGGTTAAACTCAAGTTACTGCAGTTAAACACAACATAATCATTACACTGATGAAGTTATACTAGTGATGCACGATATTAGAATTTCTGGCCGATACCGATATCCGATATTAAGATTTCTGATATCGTCGATAACCGATATTAACGATGTCGATATTCAATTATTGCATAACGTGAAAACTATTCAAAAGAAGCCCCATACCAAATTAGACCACATAGTCGTCTTTATTATGCAACAAAAGTAAAACATATTGAAACATATTTGAACATATTTAACGTTCAGGACCATTTAAGTAAAAACATCTGCAGTAATATCAAACGTAGAGACGAAGGCGCTGATGTTTGACAATCATCGGTGTTTCACATCAGCTAAATTTGTTCATCAGACTGATACTGATTTATAGGAAAAGCCACTAATATCGGCTGATACCGATGTGGTCGCCGATATATCGTGCATCCCTAAGTTATAGTGTTTTGTCGTTGTGGAAACGTAGTCGACCGTCAGTTGTATAAATGATGCAAACAAATATTAGACACCTGTCAGCGTGTGCATTACAGTTAAACAGCGTCACAGTGCAGCTTAAAAAATGTCCATAAATGTGAATTTAAAGCAGGTTTTTTCAAAATAAAGCGAACATTATAACCTCATTAAGGTAGAAAGTATCTGTTGTTGTGACTGCATGTTGTAGCTAAGTGGAGCTAATAAACCAGCAGGTGAGTGTAGCTGCACAGTTGGGAGGCCAGTGTGTTCTCACCGGACAGCTTTATGGAGTCGTGCTTCTCACTCTCATCAAAGTTGGAGGAGGAGTGGTCGTCGTCCGAATAGGAACGATTGGCATCGCCCTGGAGATAACGAAACAAAGAGAAGAGAGAGGGAAGGACCTGTTATACAGCGGTTATAAGGCACTTTAACAAGGTGCTGGAACATATCTTCCAGATTTTTACTTTTATCTCTTGGGGTGACATTATTGTAAGACTGTATTCCCTCCCACCAGGTATTATTTGATATCATCAAAGTGGTTCAGATCTGTGCCGTGTCTTCCGATTAAATCAGCACAACTTTGAAACTACTGACACACTGCTCCAGAAACCCTCAGAGGTTCGGTTAAGACCAGTGGGACTTCCTCTCCAGTCTTCACTATGGGAACAAATTGGCTCAATAATCCCGAGTGTGTAGCGGCGGCATCAGACACAGAGCGGCCGAGCAGAGAAGGTGAGAGAGCCAGAGGGAGAAAGGCCGACAGCGAGAGGATGAGAGGCAGATTGAAAGACTGATGGCTGTGTTTTGTTTTGGCATTTCAAGAAAGATCAGTCAAAAAGCCTCGTGATTTGAGTCAGTGTTTCCACCTCCAGCTCACACATCATAGCTACATGCCATGAATATGGTAATGTTTTGATCTGCGTATGAAAACTCGACTGGGTTACTCAGCCGCGCTACAATTTTCCAATGATATCGTCTGTGAGCTTGACAGCTGACGGCAGATTGACAGCATCATTTTGCGGTGTTTTCCACTCGGAGGGATAACTTTAGAAATGATATTGTATTAAATGCACCGTTATTATGTTTGGACTGCTGCTGACAGACGTGATAATTGTGACCAATTCTGTAATTATGACTTCTGCAGCATAAAATGGATTTTGAACACTTTAAATCTGTCGCAGTACATTTCAGACCAGCCACATTATTTTCACAACATGCTAATTTAATCAGAAATAGCAATAACATACATTAATGAAACTGTTAAAGAAAGACCTCTTTTTTCTTGTTTTACCGATATCTAAATTATGCAGTGAATGAATAGAGACTGTTTGCCTTTGACTCCTACGAGCAGCAACATGGATTTGATTTATTTTTTTTTCTTATTTCCATTAAAGAGGATTCATTGCTTCTGTTTTCAGCATGGTTATGAAATATTAGCATTTAATAGCTCAGGGCGATACACAAGTCTTTCCTCTAACATTGTTTACATATTGGCAAATCTGAAATATTACAAGTGACGCTACATTAACTATCAAACACTTCCTGCTCATGCTATAGGAACACATTTACAAACAAAAATCAAACATGATTTTTCATACTGAAGAATAAATCAAGCGTGGCAGAATTTACAGTTGTAAGGAGCGTATTTGTATATGTTTAAGGGGGTTTCATCCCTGATGTGCTTTACTGCCTTTACTGGTTCCTGATCCCAGCATCATGTTTGTGCTCCAGTTCAAAGGGTTAAAACAGCTACTGGTTGAGTAGAGGGCTGCGAGGTGGAGCGGTGGTTAGCACCGTTGCCTCGCAGGAAGAAGATCCCTGATTCGCATCTCGGTGAGGACACCCAGGATCTTTCTGTGTGGAGTCTCCATGTTCTCCCTGTGCAGCGTGGGTTCTCTCCGGGTTCTCCGGCTTCCTCCCACACAGTCCAAAAACATGCTGAGGTTAATTGGTGACTCTAAATTGTCTGTAGGTGTGAATGTGAGTGTGCTTGGTTGTCTGTCTCTAAGTGTAGCCCTGTGATAGACTGGTGACCTGTCCAGGTGAACCTGCCTTCACCCTGAGTCAGCTGGGATAGACTCCAACCCCCCACGACCCTAGTGAGGATTAAGTGGTGTATAGATGATGGCTGGATGGTTGAGTAAAGAAAAACATGACCGATCTCGTCAGTTTTACATTTTCCTCTGGCTGGGACGTATGTTTCTTGTTGTGCTGTCACCATGAAAGACAAATTCTGAAGTGAACTTAAAACATTTCTGAAGACAAATGAGGATTTTGCTCATTCTTATTTATGCAGCTTTGCATTTTAGTCAATGAGCTGCGGCGCATCCGCATGCTGACCGAGCGACGGGAGCTTCGGCGCTCCGTCGGCATCACCTCAGGACGCGTTCAGGCAAATTAAATTGTAAGTCACCTGCGGTTTGACAGCTCCCAAAACACAGTTATACACATAAAACATGAAGAAAACAGCATAAAAAACATGCTTAAATGCACAAGTAAATGTTACGTGGCCTGTGTAGACGGCCGGATTGATTTAAGCAGAAGTGCTTCAGTTCTGTCAGACGCTGGAAAACGCTTACTGTGCAGACCTGCTGTTAGCATGTCAATCTGCTCAATGCCACGATTATGAAAATCAGCATGCAGGGCACAAGGGCCGGACCTATTTTAGCTGTGAAGGTCTCCGGCAAAGGTTAAAGTCTACAGTTTGAGACGCAGAGACAGATGGATGTCAGCTGGCCACAGGAGAGGACGGCATGCAGAGAAAACAAGGGAGAGAGGCAAAACACTGATCTGCCACAGTTTGAAAATGTGTGTAAATCACAGGCTGGAATAAAAGAAGAGTTCGCAGGCCAAGCTTTGGTAAGCTACAATTAATTCCCATTATGTGGAAATGCGGTACTTGTTTGGAGGGTGTTGTCGTATAATTGTGAGGTAGGTGCTGCTCCAGCTTTTTAAATGTTGAAGTTTTGGTTATGCAGACATTTATGGGCAAGAAATGAATGATTGTGAAGCAAAAGCTTGTTGATTTGCTGCGTTTCCTTGCTTGTTGTGGGTGATATACGTCCATGATCATTTAGAATAGTTCACCAGATGAGCAGCAATGAAAAAGATGAACAAACCTGGCCCGAGCACCTCAATCAGCAACACTTAAATCAAACACGCAGACATCAGTTTAATACGGAAACAAGCAGCCTGAAGCCATGTGACGATACCTGGCACGGCGCTCCCTTACCTCTGCCTGAAAGCCCTCAACCAAGATGGCCACCAGCAGGTTGAAGAGGACGTAATTTCCAAAAGTCATGAGGGCCACAAAGTAAAGGGCGGCGACCGGTGAGGTGGCTGCCATGCCGTTGTACAAAACCGCGTTCCAGTCCTCCTGGGTCAGAATCTTCACAGAATGACACAGATAAACACACATAAATACATTTATTAATACAGTTAAGTGCACAATTCTGCCACTGTGCTGACAAAATATTCAGCAATAATTGTGAAATATTAATATAACACAGTAGCGTTAAACCCCAAAAAGTCTACTTTTCTACTAAAGAGGTGTACTTTCAAAAACTTTTTGCACATGGATTATTATAAATTAGTGCATTAGTTTTACAACTGTTGTGTAAAAATTTCCATCATCATCATCATGAAAAGGTGGTGAATATTTCTGTAATCTCTTCTTTTCCATTTAATATTTCAACTAAATTGACATTACTTTATAGAAATTTGTTTTTACGTTTTCACAAGTCTTTTTTGTGAATTCTCTAAAAAAAACAAAAAAACAACAAACTACAGTCGTGACTCGAGACCCTTAACAATCCAAAACCTTGCTATCCGACAGGTTTTTAGGAAAAACGAACGGAATCCATTAAAAACAGCCTTAACATACCGACAGCCTTGGATTCTGACTCTGACATGACATTTTATGTCACAAATAAGAATAACGGCGTATTATCTGACTGAACAATCCCACAGATTGGCTACGTTCACACTGCAGGACTTGATGCTCAATTCAGATTTTTTTGTGAAATCCGATTTTTTTGCAAGTTCGTTCACATTTCCAATTAAACGCGACTTGTATGTGATCTGCTGTGTGAACTTCATACGACCCAAAAGTGTCCTGCATGCGCAGAAGAGGACACGACGAAGTCACACGCAGCGAGCGTGCTCAGTGTTTGTGGAAGTAAAGATGGATGGTGGTGGCAGCGGCACCAGTGGAAGCAGAAGTGTGACCACTATCCTAAACTACCATCAGCAGCCAAGTACTGCCTGTACGTTCCGGACACTTCCACCCCGTCGGAACGCTCCCCTGGGATGGAAGTGTCCCGTCTGGCCACGACAAATATTCAGATATCCATCATTAATTGGGCCTGAATATCCAGAGACCAGAAAGTTCTATTTGGACCAGTCCTACTAGTTATTATAACAACTATGAACAATAATTAACAACAAATGAGCCTTCCAGCATCAAGCCCTCCTTGTATCTCGACCTCCGTCTTGACAATCCGACAGCCTTGATATAAGGTTTTACATTTAGTGTTGGATTATCGAGTCACGACTGTATACATGATTCAACAATTTAAAACAGTGCATGTGTAGCTGCTTAATAAGACATTTGTGTATAAGGAGAAATGTAGGTCATCACCTGAAAAACAGTGACAATGGCCCACAGCAGGGAGTCAAAGTTCTTCCTGTCGGGGACGGTGTCTCCGGTCTCTGTCTTCAGACTGAATTTACAGCCAAAGATGTGCATCCCGAGGATACTGCAACAGAAAACACCTTTGTATAAAAATACATCTAACTAAATGATAATTAAATGTGGATCTTTGCAGTTTTTTTGGTTTTTTTTTGATGTATGAATAATGCAACTGGTACTTTTTAGAGTGCATGGGGAGGTTTTGGATAATTAAAGCTTTTCTGTGCCTGAGCTGCTTTTATATGCAGCTCTGTGCGTTATCACTACTGTAACAGTTTCTCTGCTGGGCTTATGAGGATAAAAGTAAACGTCTGAATGCAACTGAGTGGTTACATAAGATCTCATCTGCTCCAGTGGCCTTGTTGTCACTGCAGAATACCGCACTAATCATTTAGAAGTGACGGAAGGGATTTTTTTTTTAATGTGGCGTTAATTGCACACAATAGTTCCATTTTCCTCACATAGCATCCTTTGCCTTTGTACAGTGACTAATTGCAAAACATGTCTGATGCAACCAAGACCTGAGAACAGCACTGCCACGGACGATCGTTCTAAAAGTTGTGTTGATCAAAATGACAATTAATTACAAGGGCAAACGAACACAGCTTAGCCCCAGATATAGCTCTATTATAACAGTAGCTGAGCATATACAGTGGATTCACAAAGTATTACGACTGCTACATTGTGGTTTTTGAACATTTTACTTTTTTGTCAGATTTGCAAACATTTTTTTAGATGCAACTCGATGATGTTTTGAAGTCGCACAAGACCTTTGGTGTTGTTGACTTCACTACCATTGCTGTTGAACGTCTGTGTCTAGGGCGATATGGCCAAAAATATTTATCATGATGTAAATGAGAAAATTATCGATAACGATGTAACTGACGATATAATTGACGCAAAACAAAATACTTCAAAACTGCACAACTTTATTGGTGCAAATAAAAAAGAACAATTTCTTTTCCAGTTCAGCTGTTTTTGATGTGCATTAAAACTATATTGTACCAAAATCAATAGTGCATAAGTTGTAAATTGCTTGCTGGCAATTTGTTTAATCATTTCTGGAGCCAATGCAGCTGCCCTTTTTAGGGAGTACAACAAATTCTGATATCGATATATTGGCTTCAAGAGTTATATTGAAAAGGGAAGCTTGTGTGGTCTCTGTTTCCTCTTTGTCCAACAGACCAGTAACTCTGCATCATCACCTGCTCAGTTGTGCTGCACACTCTACTACATGTGCTGCAGGCATTGAGTGAACTATATGACGACACTATTTCTAATTAAATCCAAGCATCTTGTTCAGTATTGTGTGCCGTATATTAAAAAAAAAAAAAGATTTCATATCAGCGAACAACATATACTCCATTAAAATATATCTGTTGATATATATATTGATCAGACTCAAATTTTAATGGGAAAATGTTTGAGAAAAAAAAGAAAGATTCTCGCTTTAAAATAAATCTTATAACACAACCCACTGTCTGTAAAATAATGCACTTATATTTGTAAGTGGACCCTGTGTGTGTCAATGTGTGTCTGAACTCACAAAAGCTTTCAGGAGTGCATTGAGATTAACTCGGGGTCATTTTTTTTCACCACATTTTACAAAACCAAATTACAGGAACAAGCTCGATTGGCAAATGAAGCCGAAAAGGAGGTAAACAAAAGACAACAAGGGATGTGGAGATTGATCGTCCACTAAAAGACCTTTAAGGCTTTCAAAGTGTTCGTGTGTCAGCGCTTGAGCATCTGCAAATGTGTCCTTGTTATGTTGCCGTAGCTCTTTGAGCGTCTGCTTGTTAAAACCCAACCAGATCTTCAAGTGTCTGCTTGTTATTTTGCACCCAGGGTTAATAGCTGCTGCAGAACACGGTGACCTTCTGCGCTTCAGTGGTAGCTATTAAGCAGGTGTACAGAACTTTGAAAAAAGACCAGAGCCAGCACATGCAAACACACATACACGCATATAAAAGCAGTGGGTAAAACTAAGACCTCTTTTCTAGGCATCTCCCTCAAAACAACAGAAAAAAAAATAAAAGGATGAAAAAAACTTGTACAGATGATCTTGTAATCTCATTTGTCCAACACCTTACCTAAAGATGAAGATGAAGAGCATGAGCAGCATGCAGAACGTGGCCACATTGTCCATGGTCTTCATCAGGACCACCAGCTGTCTCCTCAGAGCTGGCATGAATCTCACCAGCTTCAGCACCCTCAGCAGCCTGAAGGTCCTCAACACGGACAGACCGCCATCGGACTGGCCGACGATCTCACAAACACTGAGGGCAGAAACATGGAGCACAAAGAAGCAGCGTTAAAGAAACAGTTCTTAAGTAATATTCTGTGCTATTCATCTTGATTTATGATTTATTAATTCATACTTACAATATATATGTATTTTTTTATGATATGCAAATGTTTTTAAAGTTCTTGCTTTCTACAAAAGCTGTGAATGGCAACAACACTATAGGCAAGAAAGTGTGACAGAAAAATGATTTCTCTCTCTCTGTAGTCAGGCCTTTGAAGATGACATTTAAAACGCATCATCTAAACTTTTCCTGACCTTCTTGAAGTGCATATGGTGTAAACCTATAAAACCTATAACCGACACAACCTGTAACAGAATCTTGACCCCATAGTAGGAGAACAAACAGGAACTCCGTTGTGCCTCACAAGGCCAGATGGTCCTATAGGCGCTGAGATATCTTCTTGTTCTGCCTTTTATAAATCTAGATACGATCCCCCTCCGAAGGACGTTATAAGACCCAGGATATGAGAGAGTCCTCAGAACTGATGCTGGCATTACTGGCATGAACTGCTGTTCTGTTGGTGTCACTTGTCCTGATGCATCAGGAAACCTTGTTTCAACCAAAGTCATCTGAGTCTTTGGTGTGTCTCTGTGTCGGCCTTCAACTTCTTCAAGAATTCCACAACAGAAAGCAAGTGACGTAAATAAATCCTGTTCAGGGTTTGGAAACTATGTAAAACACCTCGTGGTTCTGGTTTTGGCTGCTAGGTGGATCAGTGGTTAGCACCGTTGCATCGCAGGAAGAAGGCTGTTGGTTTGCATCCCGGTGAGGACACCCGGGATCTTTCTGTGTGGAGTCTCCATGTTCTCCCCGTGCAGCGTGGGTTCTCTTCAGGTTCTCTGGCTTCCTCCCACAAGGTCCAAAAACATGCTGAGGTTAATTGGTGATTCTAAATTGTCCGTAGGTGTGAATGTGAGTGTGCTTGGTTGTCTGTCTCTAAGTGTAGCCCTGTGATAGACTGGTGACCTGTCCAGGTGAACCTGCCTTCAACCTGAGTCAGCTGGGATAGACTCCAGCCCCCCATGACCCTAGTGAGGATTAAGTGGTGTATAGATAATGGATGGATGGATGGTTCTGGTTATTAAAAAAAGCTGCATCTTAATTGAAAGGTCTGCTGCAAGATGCTGGTCTCCCATCATCCCCTCCTCTACTCCCTCATAATTCACCCCCACATACAGGCTCAGGCTTTGTATTTCACTGAATGCAGATTTGGAAGTGTGAATCCATCCAAAATGAACGTACTTTCCAGGAGTAAGGGTTGCCAGTCCAGACATAACTCCCCCACATTAAGTATATTCTACATTTTTAACAGTAACATTTTGAAACTACAAAGAAGTTGGTAAACTGAGCTGCAATTCCTGAAATAAAGATTTCCAACAAAACAAGACTTCAAACTGCAGTTTTCAGTTTCATTTGTGAAAAAATAAGTCCAGTACAGTGGATTATCATTTCATACATACATGTGTGTGCTGGATGGCCAGTAGTGTTCAGGTTCATCGTTAGGAACTGTAATGTCCCCAGCCTTTAAGAACATTGTCATTGCTTAAGTTCATATTTAAAACCGATAAATGCGTCTCAACTTTTCAACGATTTGAGCTGAGAGTACATTACTAATTCTTAGGAAAATGCTTGGTTTATCTTATCTTACAGTAATTAATGCGTCCACTTCGGCTGCATCAAGCTCTTGCCTAAATTCTTTTAATTAAATGTGTTAATTGCTGTTTGCTGCCGCAGAGCAACCGCAGAAAGGAGGGGGGCTCACTGAACTTGTACCTTATCTCCTTTTGTGGGTATTTATCAGGAACAGAGGAGCGTTCCCTGGTGGGAAATCTGGCTTTAAAGAAATGTGTCTTCTGATGGTGGTAGCTATCAAAGGCTCCACTCAGCACATCAAAATAGCGTCGGCTATTATTGGCAAAGATTGAATCGGAGCACTTTTGCTCCGTGTGAATAGCTGAGGACGTTCAGATGGAGGGAGAGAGGGGAAATTGGTAATGGTGCAAGAGATAAGAAGACAGATGTAGATATGTTCAATCAACATGCATCTTCTGTGATAGGCTGCACATTTGATCTTGTTCGGTTTTAGTTGCTTTGATGTGTATTTGATCTCGGGGTTATAATGGGGATCACAGACAAAAAGCGCCTAACCGGATGAATTGGAGAAAGAAATAAAATAAAAAAATGCCAGCAGATCAAAGGCAGAGCCACTCACCTGAAGCACAAACAACAAAAGACAAAACGTGTTTGCTGCCGTCTGACGCCTTGGCATCCATACAGTACAGGTGCTACATGTCAGCCAGGCAGACGGCAATGTGACAAGATGTAAATAATTTAACTGTGTGACCTCTCTCCAAAAAAAAAAGGATGATAGATGAATTACATCAGTCAGCATTTGAGGAACATAATAATTGTGTCTTTCAAAAGCCACTTTTTTTCCCTCTTGCTAAATAAATCCACCATATTCAGGATATTTGAACCGTGGAATTCAGTTTAAATGACTTCTGTCTTTAACACAATAATGCCACAGATGTGGGTTTATACTGTACGCTCCATGTCTGGCCTAAAATAAGTGCACAAATGAAGAAAACAATCACGATAAATGCAGGTTTCACTCGTACCTGATGATGACAATGACTCCATCGAAGACGTTGTAGGGGTTCCTCAGGTAGTTGAAGGAGCCGAAAGCCGTGAGCTTGAGGATCATCTCCAGGGAGAACATGCTGGTGAAGACGATGTTGCAGATCTCCAGGACGTTTGTGAGCTCCTCCGGCTGACAGACCGCGGAAGAGAAAATAAGACACAGGAGAGAATGGAAGAGATGAAGAGGAAGAAGGTGAAAATGGAGAAAAAGAGCGAGTTAAAGCAGAAAAAAAAATAAATGTGACATTTGAATTCCATGTTCACTTGACAGTTCGCTGTAGCTGGAAGACTGGATAAACAAAGTGAATAGAAAACATTGCTGAGTGGAAAGGAATTTCAGCTTTATAAGAACTGCATTTTCTTATTAAAAGAATTTGCACTAAGAGGGTTTTAGAAGTTGAGGGGAGATAATGGGAGATTTTTTTTTCATATATCCATGAATCACAGTGATCGGGGTTTCCTCACTATACACATGGAGCAAAATCAAGCTAGCATGTTGAAGTACTAACTAAAACAAACGTGAATGATGGCTGAATTCTTGCAATCTATTAGTTGGCTTTTGTCTATTTATGAGTCATTTACTAACAATCAACCAGAATGATCCAATATCAGATGATCAATTGGCAGAAAAAGGGGCAAGGAGGATGTTTTGTTGACAGGAAATAGGAAACTGTTGCTGGGCTGCAACATTTGAGTCCATTTTTTTGTTCATTTTTACTGAAAAATATGTTTGTCCTTCGTCGGCCTCCTTCCGAGACGACGGGATGCACCATGTTCGGTCACTTGCACACTTCTTGGCGTGGCTAAACAAGCCAATGCGGGAGCGGCAGTCGTTTTGGCATGAAGAACAGAAGTGCACGGAGGCTTTTTGATCTTGTTGGGAAGACTTGCGTTACATCTCTTCCTGCTCACAACAGCAGCTTTCCAGGAATCTCTTGACTCAGCAGTGGTCCCCCAGGACTGGACGCTGATCTCAGAGGTTTTCATGTCGCGCTTGCAGGCGTCTTTGAAGCGGCGCCTTGGGCGACCTCGAGGTCTAGAGCCTTCTGACAACTGGCCGTACAGTAGATCTTTAGGTATTCTGCCGTCGCCCATGCGGCGTACACGGACCAGCCAGCGAAGAGGACGTTGGCGAAGGAGCGTGAAGATGGATGGAAGTCCTGCGCGCTCGAGCACAGCGGTGTTTGGGATTTTGCTGTTTTGCAATCTATTAGTTGGCTTTTGTCTATTTATGAGTCATTTATTAACAATCAACCAGAATGATCCAATATCAGATGATCAGTTGGCAGAAAAAGGGGCAAGGAGGATGTTTTGGTGACAGGAAATAGGAAACTGTTGCTGGGCTGCAACTTTTGAGTCCATTTTTTAAAATTTATTTTTACTGAAAAATATGTTAACAAGCAGTAAAATAGCCAGCATGTTGTTCAGATATTGTTATCCTGAGACCAACTATCTGCTCCGACCCAGCACAGCAGCAGGTAGCCGGCAAACAAAACCTAATAATCTGTCATCGGTTATTAATGTTCACAAAACTCAGTCCACCTTGGAGACAAACTGTTCCTCGTGACGCTCTGGAGAGCCACCATGTACTATATCCATTCAGTCCTGGATTGCTGATTTACTGTTAGAGTAATAATTAGCACTTGAACACGCTGCCAGTACTTAAATAAGTCCACTCCGTCTTGTTAACACTTGAATGTTGGCAGGAACGTTTGGTTGTATTTATCTTTTGCCTTCCGTCGTATGCCTCGACAATATTTCAGTTTCTTTCGCTTGCCGTCAGTCTCTACATCAGTGTCTGTCTGTTCTGCTGTCTCTGACACTGTTTGGGTTCGTCTCTCTTTTTCTGTTGTTTTTCTGTTTCTGTCTCAATATGAGGGAGAACACACACACACACACACACACACACACACACACACACACATACAAAAGGGGCTAAATTTGGCACAATCATGATTTTCGGCACATCACTATTCCACAGAGTTCCTCTGTAACTTCAGCAATGACACTTCTGACATTTCACCGCCCCAGAATCAATAAGCGCTGTGTGTTTTGCATTTACATGTCTGTCTGTGTGCATTTGTGTCGCCACAAAGTGTGTGTTTGTCGCCCCTAATGAGTGTTTAGCAATGTGAAAACATGGGCTAATGATGTATGCCCACCAGTGTCCAGACCAGCCGAACAGTGTCGGCAGCCCCTGGAGATCCATTACTGCCGTCTCATTACTGCAGACCTGGGAACAGATCTAAAGACTGGTGTTTTCCGGTCGGCTGATGTATGGAATAAAAAGCGAGGATTTGATATCACACCGAGGACATGCGGTTGATTGAGAAAAGTGAACATAATGCGCTTGTTAAGTGAACCAAACAAAAGGTACTGGACTGAAACGGCTGCATGTCAGCGCGTACAAAGGGCACAACTCTTTACCATATGCCAATACGCCTTCAAGTCTGAATTAAAAATGCACATGAGAAAGATAATTGTGACAGCCAAGTAGCTTGTACTCTATGAACAGCAATTTGAAAACATGCATTAATCAGCAACTAATTACCAAAAACATCCGAGGAGGTCAACTGTGCTGCTCTTATCTGAGCTCTGCCAGACTTACAAGCATGTTTAGGTTCAGCCTGCTCTGCTATAAGCACTGGAGGTGTTACAATAAGTCATGATTTCAATTCAATAACTGTGCGACTTTGACACCAGAAACCCTTGTTTGGCTTTTTAACCATGACTGTGATCTTTCCATGA